TTTTTTTTTCCATCTCTTCGCACTTTAAAAAATTCACTCCTCCCTCCCTAACTGGCCCTAAGGGATAAAATTTGTGTCACTTATTGAGTATTAAATGCTCAACACGTTGGCATAAATTTCATCACTTAGTCGCAATTAGGGTCAGAGGAATGAATTTTTGAATTGGAAAAAAAATTTTTTTTTCAATTTCTTTGCAGTTTCAAAAATTCACTCCTCCGTCCCTATTAGGCGTTAAGGGATGAAATTTGTGTCACTCATTGATTATTAAATGCTCAACATGTTGGCATAAATTTCATCCCTTAGTCGCAGTTAGGGTCGGAGGAATGAATTTTTGAATTGGAAAAAAAATTTTTTTTTCAATTTCTTTGCAGTTTCAAAAATTCACTCCTCCGTCCCTATTAGGCGTTAAGGGATGAAATTTGTGTCACTCATTGATTATTAAATGCTCAACATGTTGGCATAAATTTCATCCCTTAGTCGCAGTTAGGGTCGGAGGAATGAATTTTTGAATTGGAAAAAAAATTTTTTTTTCAATCTCTTCGCACTTTCGAAAATTTACCCCTCCGTCCCCAAAAGGCGCTAGGGGATAAAACTCTTGTCATTGAATTGACCATTTAATACTCAATAAGTGACACAAGTTTAATTCCTTAGCTATAATTCGGGGGGGGGGGGGGATGAATTTTCAACCGAGACGCACGTTCCCCGCGCCACTCGACGCTGTAACCAATGGAAAGACGATCGGTTGATCGTCCTTCCATTGCGTGTGGAGGGGGAATTACGTTCCCCCATTCATTCTCCCCTCTTCGTCATTCCAGCGAAGAGAGAGAGAGAGAGAGAGAGAGAGAGAGAGAGCAATATCGTTGCGCTCTTTTGTCTCGTAGAATGGTGGGGCGGGCACACACACATATGGTGCATATCCCATGGATGTGCGCCCACTTAAAAATCACTCCCCATTGGCCCACCCTTAATTGCCAATAACTTTTTAGGGGTCAGTCTGATCAAAAAGTGCAAGAGGACTTTTCTGCTCAGATTCACCCCCTGATCCTAGGGTGTTCAGATGTACATGTACTTCTGAAACACCCTGTATATTGATACTCGCTCAAACTTTCTTTTTGAAAATGATCAAACATAGAAATGATATAAACACATGTGACATGAACAGTGATAACTAAATGTTAAAGCTGATTTTAGTACATAAGTTATCTACGATAATACTTTGGAATATATATCGTTAATAATACTCTTGATATAATAAATGTATTGCCAATGATAAATCCTGGTTAGTGTCTTATAACTTTAATCACATTCTTTCTGCATCCACAATCCCATAATCTTAAGCCTAACAAAAAACGAATTGCATGCTCCACTGGAGGTCATTCTAGTATCAATAAATTCCAGATTTTCATGGTTCTCATAGTTTTCATGGGAATTGAAAATTACCTGAAAGTCAATGTGATTTTAGTCAGGAGATCTCATGCTCGTTTGTAGTCTTTTCCATCTTTCATCAGGCGTCATGTTTATCATTGCCAGTAAAGTAAGTCTGACAAAGAAAAATGCTTAGGTCCCAGTAATTTATGGCGCTTTTGCAATGCCCACAGCACCACCTGCCAATGCTCCAGTGCCACTTAAACAGGCAAAAAGAGGTATGAGGAAGGGTAATACACCTCCAATTTTGGCTGGCACAGGTAAGATACGAGGGGATTGCACTCCCTTTCTACCACCAACTTTTTTCACTGCTTCACGTGCCCCTTTGAGAGCCGATTTGATGGCGTCACTTCCTGGATGCATGGAAGTCTTAGCAGCTCGAATAATTTGTCTCAAGGAGACCTTCTTCTTCTTCACAGCGCCACCACGTTTCTTCTTTTTCGTCTTCCTTTTCGCAACCCCTCGGCCACGAATTTTTTTTATGCCCATTCCGAGAGAGGTTCTCGCTTTCATTGTATTAGCTACACCCCAAGCAGCAGCTTTTTCAGCCAAGCTTGCGTCCTTCGATAAAGCTCGTTTCCAAGCTCTCTCCGTAAGAATTTTATCCGCTTCGTGTCGTGCACTTAGGTTATCTCGATTTTTCGAGTAGGATATATCGTACCCTTTACAGGCTGCGTCAAGTAGATTTATGCCAGTATCGCCCCGCTTCAATCGTTTCTGTAATTTTATCCCAGGTCCACAATACTGGTAGCCTGGTATATGTAGTTCAACAGGAAGTTTTTTGATAACACTATTCACTAAGCCTCTACCTTGACGCTCTCTCTTGCGTTTGTATCCTTTCATGTTCAAATAAGAACTGATGAGTGATGGAATAAATATCGTATATTTATAAGTATGTGTGCCAGTCATTGCTAGAATATGGAGGGGTATGGATCTCAATGATTCGCTGAGACATGATTGAACATGTGTATGCTTTTAAGACTTTTAAGGCTTTTAAGCCACCCTGGCTGTGATGATGATCCAACGCCAACTACTAGCGAGTGAATGGCACCGATATCTATAAATGAGCAATATTTATAGATTTCTGATCAGTCATTAATCATGAAATTCAAGAAGCAGAATACACAACTCCCAATAATGAATTTCGACAACCTGATGCAAAAGAAGAGTGAGAAAAAGCGTCACGGGCCTCTATTACCTAGTAGTGTACGAGCTCTTATCTGTGGACCTGCAAATTGTGGAAAGACGAACGCCCTATTGGTTCTCTTAGTCCACCCTAATGGGTTAAGATTTGAGAATATCTATGTATATTCAAAATCTATAAATCAACCGAAATATTAATTTCTCAAACGGTTACTTTCTGGCATAAAAGGCATAGGTTATTTTGCGCATAGTGAACATGATGAAGTTATTAGACAAGAAAATACTCGACCAAATTCTATCATGATTTTTGATGATGTGGCATGCGAAAAACAAGATAATATGCGAGCATCTTTCTGTATGCGACGACATAGAGATGTTGATAGTTTCTACCTATATCAAACCTATGCTCGTATACCAAAACATCTTGTGCGTGACAACACAAATTTTCTGATACTTTTCCGTCAAGACGAGATGAATTTGAAGCATATTTAGGAGGATCACGTCAATACTGACATGTCCTTCACAGAATTCAAAGATTTGTATGCGAAATGCTGGGATGAAAGCAAATATAGCTGCGTTGTCATTGATAAAGATAGTGAACTCAATAATGGCCGATATCGAAAAGGATTCGATTGCTTCATGAAAAGATAAATATGCATTATTTGAAGGGATTGAGAATAGTTGTTGCGTGACAGCACAAGTATCAAAATGCAGAGTGAAAATTTTAAGAAGGAGACAAATATATTGCGGAATATCACTCAAGCGAGCGATTCGCCGCAAACATAATATGATAAAATTGGGGAGAGAAACCACTGAGAAAGCTATGAGTGAAGTACTCAAACCAGTAATAACTCCGCTCGAGAAATTGGTGGATCAATCGGTAATGAAAGAATCTCCTAATAAGAAGTGAAGAAAGAGGAAGATAGCTGGTACTCCTGTTCGAATGCAGAAAGATATGGATGATGATTATGAGAGTCCTTCTCGATATAAATCTCTAGAAGAACTCTTATCTGATTTAGATAGCACATTTACAAGCACCCCTGTGAAAAAATATCCCCAATAAAAACTATGACTACAACTGATCGTATTTCATCAAATAAGGAGGAATCTCCTATAGCTTCATAAAAGCTTCTCCAAACATATTTAGATCGATACGATACAGAGCGTGAGAAGACTGATTTGGATACAGAATACGGTGTTCGTTCTTTGAAAAACAATATGAAGCTTGGTGATTCTGTAGTCGATTTTTATGGAAATTCAATGAACCTTAAGGGTGAGAAATATACATTAACTCCTGGTCTAATTGAATTGATCTTTAAGAAGTCACTTAACATGAGTCTCATAACCGAAACTGATAAACATACTTACGGTAATATCATACAGAGTACAAATGCTCATCGAATGTGGTACAAGCCTAGTGGAGCTATTCGAACAACTAGCAGCATGAAATATTACAACATTATCGCAAATCTTATTGACTCCAAGAAAACTGGAACAGCTCTTCCTCATCATATGATTGCATCAATAAAACCTAACAAAATGGACTATGTATATTGGGATGATCCAAATGAGTTGGTGGATAAACTCCGATTGCTTATGGCATCACAAATCAGCTGGGAATATGAGTCACACCAATGAAATTATGTCAATAATGAAAGAATTGCGTGAGGCCGGCATTATTTATTAGACTGTGACAATGATAATTCATCATTTGAAATATGAGTATTGACGTGTTTGGACGTCAGTTGAGTAAGAGTGTTGTGAGGACTTCTGGTAGTCGGCGTCCTCCAGGAGAAGGTTTTAAAGTTACTTCCGATGGACACTATGATATGGATCATCGCAGACTGTGTAATTTAGCTGATTCGGTAGAGGACTATGATGCAGTTTCCTTGAAAATAATGCGCAATATGATGAGAGAGGAGATTCGTCTTATATATAATGTCACTAGATCTATGGGTGGGAGAATTGATGGAATTCAAATAATGATCCAATCATTTCAAGAAATTTTTTTGGCGACTATGAGGCAAAAACGTGTAGATGAAGACGAAGTACAAGAATGGTTGGTTGATCATTCAAAGACCATTAGGCATTTGAATGACGAACTAACAACATTGAAAGAATCTGTCTCACATCAGATTCAGATAATCCTTGATGGTCTGCAACCAATGATCACGAAACAATTGAAAAGAATTCAAGAGGATACAAATCAAGACTTGGCGTTGCGTAATTCTGAAATAATTGCTAACTTGGATAAACGTTTAATTGCATTGGAGAATGAACAAAAAAACGGTAGTAGTTAAGGAGCTTCATAGACCACCTCGAAGAAATTATTCATGACGGCATGTTGATGTGCGTGGACTGGATGAGACTTGGCAGGCTGATCTTGTTGACATGACTACATATGCTCGTGAAAACAAAGGTTACAAATATCTTCTAACAGTCATTGATATACAAATAATTGATATTTTTACAAAGTATGCTTGGGCTGTGCCAACTAAAACTAAAAATGCAAAAGATGTGACGAATGCCATGAAGTCTGTGTTGAAACAACGACGTAAACCACAAAAATTGCATGTGGATCGAGGAAAAGAATTCTACAACAATGAATTCAAGAAGCTGATGAAAGATAATGGTATCACTATGTATTCAACATTCAGTAATCTTAAAGCGTCTATATGTGAGCGATTCAATCGTACACTCAAAGAAAAAATGTGGAAGCAGTTCAGTTTGCAAGGAACATACAAGTGGATTCCTATAGTCAAGACGCTGGTTCAGTCTTATAACACCAGAAAGCATCGGACAATCCATATGAAACCCATAGATGTCTCTGCGGACCATGAGAAATATCTTCTACGAGATGTTTCCGGTAAATTCTATGTGAATCGTACGAAAAAAGTCGAATTCAAAGTTGGAGACAGAGTTCGGATCAGCAAATACAAGAACGTATTTGAAAAAGGCTATACACCCAACTGGACAACGGAAATATTTACTATCGATGAAGCTGTCAACACCGACCCCGTGACGTACAAACTCATAGATTACGAAGGAAAGCCAATTGAAGGTGGATTCTACCAAGAGGAACTAACCAAAGTAAAATACCCTGATGTCTATCTCGTGGAAAAAATCCTTCGAAGACGTGGGAATCAAATTTTTGTCAAATGGCTGGGCTTCGATCACTCTCACAACAGTTGGATCAATAAAAATGATTTATAATTTGTGGTATTCAATTTATTTCCATTACAAAAAAAGATGTACAATATTTTTATATACAAGAATAAATGTACAATATATACAAAATAAACCAATGTTCATTGACAAATCACGGTCTTCCTCTTCATTTCTCATAACCGTATGGTACAGTATCAGTAGTATTAGGACAGAGTATCCTCTTGTCATCATGCCAACTTAAAGCTAATTTCCGTTGGTGGATCGTCTCAACATCATGTTTCTTACTTCTAATCAAATACTGGGACTTAACTAAATTCTGATTATGAAAGAGACATTCTTTGTAATCATCGAATGTAATGGTTTTTAAGGCTGAACTTTTGATACCTTTGGCTCACTTCTTTTCTTTATTTTCTCCATGAATTTTGAAAGTACAAGACTTGGCTCGTAGGCCAACAAATTCACTCATGATTTTCCCGTTGCATTCGTCTTTCATTAAACCCAACACCTTTTTATTGACTCTTGGAATACCATACTCATTGTTCTCAGGATAATCTGACGTATCGAACTTGGAGATATCATGTTTAATGTATTCATAAATGTCTAGGACATTGAATTGATACAGGAGACTGTCTGTATCAGTGTATAATAATTTCGCTCGATCGCCAACCGTATTCTTAACATATTCATAATGAAAATCATAGATGAATATCTTGGAAATGTCAAGGATAGAGAATCCAATGTAAATGGGTTTATTGAAAAATATTTCGTTACGATTCAATTCGATGATGACCAAATTCTCCTCTTCATCGAATATCGTACAGCTGTGGAAATTCAGTTGAGCAATCAAAGCTTTAGCGCCATATCTTCCATTTCATTTTGTCACAAGTCTGACATCTTTCTGTTTCCTCACATTTTCTATAGTTTTTCCGAAGACAGCGTTATTCATCAGCTTGAAGAAGTTCTTCTCGAATTCGTTGGTGGATTTCTTTCGCAATTCAGTATTCAAATCTATATACGGTTTTAACCAAGCAGCTTGAGCAAATTTCAATGCACGGTGAATTTTCGTCAGTCGCATTCCTAGCTTGAGACATTATTTTAAATTTTTGTAATGTATTACGTAATTTTTCTTCGATAAAAGTGTAGTCATTAATTTTGCAATTTTCTTCTGCGGTGGAATGAAATATTCTGGACAAAGCGGTAAGTCTTTGTGTAATTCATGGAGTTCTCTCGTGTCGCCAGATCAACTTCCAAGATATATCCTTTGGAGGACTCGTCTGAGATGCAATTAACATCAATTGATGATGGATCCACCCATTCAAATGATCCATAGGGGAGATACTGAGACATAGCGGCACTGTACAAATTGTTTACATCGAAATACATCAAACACTCACTTCTCTGTTATTACTCACTTCTCACTTCTTTGTTAGAATCAAATTTATCTCCCATATATTTGTCATTAGCAGAGCCATACCGATTTGCACATTGAGCAACTCCTCCTCGAATACCTTTTTCAATGAATAGATGCATCTCAATGTCAGTCAACAATTCGAGATTCACACGAGTGCCTTTAAGCATGGCATCAAATGCCAATCCAGGTGTTGTGAAATAGTGTAGAGGATCAAGCTTGTATACAGAGAGAAAACTGTGTCTGAAATTTTGGAAGATATCTGCTAATAATAAGACATCTGTCTTCAAATACATATCACAATATTCACCCAATGATTTAATATCAAAAATATTCCAAATGTTTTGAGCGTGAGCATAATCTTCCATAGAAATATCCTCATTATTCAATTTTGAATAGAATTTTTCTCTTGAGGGTAATTGTTCCTCATCCAGTTTATCCCAATTATCAATGTATTCATAGGGGAACACATTCTTCCGAGTTAGAAGTTGGAATTTCTCGAGATCATTATCACAAAATTGCCATGTTATACGTTTTTATCTTCATCACTCAGATAAGAAGCCAATTTCTCTAAACTGCTGGCCATAAATCTGTATGAATCGAGAAACCGTAAACTGACTTGGGTGCCCTGAACATGTTTTGTAAAAGCAATATATTTCTCTTTGTTCAGTGGGATCAAATGCAAAGAACCTGGGTACTTTGTAGCTAGAAGTTTGATGAAGAAATGTGAATCATAACTGGAAAGATTATGAAATATCACTGGAATAACTCGGGAATTTTTATAGTTGACGTTGCATTGAGGATGTGCTGGACCGCGATATTTTCCAGTGAAATGAACATGATCATGATGTTTCATTGCATTTTCTGTGAAAGGTTTTTCACAAATGTGACAAGTTGAAGCTGTTTCATACTCCATAATTTGTTCGTTTGTAAGTGGATCCATTGGAACATTCATATCTTAACAACTGTCAATCTCCTGAGCTATTTGCTGCAGCTCATCTATGAACCAATCGATGCAATCGGAGCCACGTCTAATCTTGAATTTTGATCGTGTATTGTCGAAAGAACAGTGTAAATAGAATGCAACACTGTGTGTTATATGCTTCTGTGTGAGAGATTCATTATCAATTGACTGGATAATGGACTGAAGATCTGCATATATGAAAAATGTTACCATCTCTTTAAACTTGTAGTTCTTGAAATTCAGAATATTTGTTTCTTCAGAGGGTAGAACAATCTTACATCGAGATACGCGGTCGCGTATCGGCCAAGTAACCATTTCGATTCTCATTCCTTTCATTCAAATTCAATTCAAAAATTCAAATCAATTCAAACCAGGCCGACTGCTACCGCGTATCTATACACGAAGCAACTACCCCCTCCACTACCTCTTGATGCATTTTATTTCATAACATTAAAATCCGACATATTACGTGGAAATTGACCATAGTTTCATAATGTAAATTACATATGCGCTTCCCATTCATGCCTTCACTTTTTTTTTAATAAATATTTATAAAGATACGTGCATCACACGGCCTTGTATTATTATTTTCCAGACTGAGATTATCGTAGCATTAGTTTTTTGTTTAGGAGTTGGCAGTAACTGACAATATCTTTCGAGTTGTCGATGTAAGGTGGCCAACTTGTCTCCATCGAATGAGGCCTCAGACTACAGGCTATAAGCAACAATTCAACGCACAATAAAGAGGCACAAGCAATAGCTACATAACCTGTGCGGCAGCGAAATATTTGAGACGTCAAAGTCGGTTAATTATCCCGTGATAATTATTTATTGTACTGTTTATTTTTATTTTGCTGTGTTCCGGGGCCTTCTGAAAAGCATCAGCCCGATGCGCATGCGTGTATATAGTGAAAAGTGAGATTAGACAAAAAAAAAGTATTCTCTTTCTTAATCGTCCAACATGTCGGGATTGAATATCAACCATCAAATGGATCTTAACTATGACGATGATTTCGTAAGTAATTGTCTTTTAAATCTGTTTAATTGCATGTGATAACAAGTATTTCGAGTCACGAGTTTTGATTTTTTTATAGGGGGTCTTTCTATATTTGTTATTGTCCGTCCATTAGCGAGATTCTTGGTCCACGTAACATTTTGAGGTTACGGAGAATGAGAAAAATAGTATTTTGGGTTGGTGGGTGGCAATTTTTATCACTATGAAGGAAATAACTCCCTCCATCCGTTAAAAAAAAATCAAAAACTTCTTGAATGATAGCTCAATATGATGGATATATATTCATTAAAAATTTTTTCGTGGATTGAATTGGCTCAACGCCCAAAGGCACCATCACCCCCTCTCCCTGAAGGACAACGACCACAAGTAGCAGCAGCAGTACCACCACCACCATCACAAGCAGCAGCAGTAGCAGCACCACCACCACTACCACCACAAGTAGCAGCAGCACCACCACCACCACTACCACAAGTAGCACCACCACTACCACCACCACTACCACAAGTAGCATCACCACCACTACAAGTAGCAGCAGCACCACCACCACCACTACCACAAGTAGCACCACCACTACCGCCTGAGAGGCAGCAGCCAGAGCGTCAACCTCTACAGCAGCAGCCACCGCTTGGAGGGCAGCAGCCGGATCCCCATCCCCAGCAGCGACAACTACAGCCACAGCCTCGAGGCCCACTTCAAGCGAATGAAATTCCTCGGCTCATCCATTTGTTGGAGAGGCCGGTAGATCAAAATGATCATGGAGAAAATCAGCGAGGCAATCAAAGAGGTAGAAGAGTGAATCAGAGACGTGGAGGAGGGAATCATGAAGGAATGGTGGGGAATCAGAGAGGTAGGGGAGTGAATGCCGGTGGACGAGGAAGGGATGGCGGTCATCGAGGAGGGTATCTAGGACGTGCAGACGTGAATGTGCGAGGAAGGAGAGGGAATGGAGGAGGTGGAGGATGGAATCAAGGTGGTGGCAATCGGAGAGGCAGACGAGATGATGGGAGAGGAAGAGCTGGACATTATCTCGAACGTCGCAATGCTAAGTAGGTTCATTTGGAATTTTTTGAATGCACCTGTGATTTATTTTTTCACAACTCTCGCCAGTTATTTTCTGCTGACTTTCGCCATTTTAATAATTCTTGGATGGATTTCCTTCTAGATATTGGAGAAGTAAATATCTTCAGATGAAGAACAATCCACCTCGAGAAGGAAGCGGTGTTGGTCCAAGCTTCCATTATTATGTGAACAATAACTGATATTAGACTCTCGTTATTTCTTCGAAAAAAGTCATGAATTTTCATTATCATTTCATGTGATGAAATGAAAAATACAGTACTGAGATGAAAAATACATTCAAGTTAATAAAATTTCTCTCGAGCAATGGATGATTCAATTCTAAATGTTCTTCCAAAACCAAACGAGTGGTTAAATAACGAATTCATCAATTGATTTGAAAATTTATGAACCTTGCCGAGTTTTTACTTGCCCCCCGGCACCGTTTCTCCGCTATTCCGCTTTATCATTCAATGGGGTATGTCTTCAAATCTATCATAATTAGTTCATCAAATTCAGAAGAATAAATTCAAAATTTCTTTTCTTTTTCAGAAACTTCTGAGGACTTTTTTGACGGAGGAAAACACTTAAAATATTTATCTTCGTTTAAAGTTGTTTCAAAAAAATGTTTTCTACTGCCGAGTACCATGATTATGAGAATGTTCGAAAAATTGAGTTTTTATTATGAAAATAGGTACAATTTTGAAGGAAATGTAACTATTGTAACAAAAATGTCATTTTTCATTATTCGTCGCTGAGGACTCGGAAATATTTTGTTTAGGAAATTATTTTTTTTTAAATTAAATTTAGGAAATTATTCTGTTCTGCTTGCAGTGTCATTACTTATTAGTAATACGGGAACTACTATGGCGCCCCCCACCCACAGTCACTCCGACCCCACCACTGCACCGGTCAGAGTAGCACGACTCTGATGCAGGCAAGTGGTGGGGTGGGAGTGACTGTGAATGCTGTGGGTGCGTGATAGCAGCTATCATACAGGGGAAATAAAAAACAGAGAATTTCAGTTATTANAGTAGTACGGGAACTACTATGGCGCCCCCCACCCACAGTCACTCCGACCCCACCACTGCACCGGTCAGAGTAGCACGACTCTGATGCAGGCAAGTGGTGGGGTGGGAGTGACTGTGAATGCTGTGGGTGCGTGATAGCAGCTATCATACAGGGGAAATAAAAAACAGAGAATTTCAGTTATTAATTACATGTATATTTTCCCAAAAATAATGTCCCCATGAATTACATATTTTTCTTATAAATTACTTACATTTTTGATTCCACGACGTACAATTATAACCACGGCCACTAAATAACTTCCCCTCGGGGACACTATTACGTTTTTTATTCATAAATGCATCATGATATTCACGCACTAGACGATAATTAGATATGAATCGATCGGTGAATAACGAATAGAACTTCTCAGGAGTAGCAAACATAGCCATACAATGCAGAAAAAGTACACAGTATTATCCACATACACTCGAGTCATGATGCTGGAGCTGCCGGATGCTGCACCTGAAGAGTTTACAGTTCTTTTGGAGCCTTGCAGCGTGCTGGGGCACGATGGGAGGTAGTCCGAAGCTGTCGAAGTACCATCCTCTACCATCTCGATCAACGTACATGGCGATCCAGTGTTCTCCTGGTTGGGTGTGGTCATGTGTGTTCGCTACTATTGCAGTCGGTTTCGTCCACGCCGATGGGATCTTGTCCACTGGATATACACCAACTGTATGATTCGGTATATACTGTCGGGCTTCTAGAATCTGTACTGTGTTCATCAGCAGGAAATTTCTCTTTGGATAAACTTTTTAATCCTTCCTCGTTCGAAGTCAACCACGCTTTGATTTGAAGGACTCGGCGCATAGCACATATAAAGGTTCTGTGATTCAATGTACTATGTATGAGGCATGATGGAACAGCTACTGGTGTACAAGCGAATAGTGGCGATCTAATGTGGCCCTTCAAATTGATAACATCTCGGGTAAGAAGGGTAGCAGTGAATTTCGTTTGCTCACAACCATAGGTATACACGTATTTTATTCCTTTGGTAACGGCTCGTAATACTGCATAGACATATTTAGAAGATGCTTCTCCTTCATACCAATCTATACCGTGACGTGTGATTGTAAGTTGATTGTTCATCCTCTGAATATTAGGTGGAATCGCAGAATACTGGTATTCAGGACAAATTACCCAATGTCCTATCATGTCGAAGGATGTGGAGGTCACCGCCACTTCTTTTGGAACGAATGTACCGTGGATTCCGATGAAACCCTCGTAATGAATAATTGCTGCCGAATCTGAATTACACTGAGAGAAAAAATTATTCCTGCCAAGGATTGATATTCTCGTCAGAAGATAATATTTTTTCAGAATGAATTTTTCCAGGACAGTAATTTTCAGAGAGCCCAAGTCTATCCTCAAAAATTACAGTGATATTGAACAATCTGATTATTATGTTACATATGACCTTGACAAAATGTTCTCCGATATCTTCCGGATTTTACAAATTGACGATTTTCTCAGGTAAAGAAAATTGGAATAATGTCAAATGTTAATAATTATTATTGCAGTTTCTTCGAGGTCATATGCAGAAGAATATTCTTATAGATCACCATAATTCTCACGCTTGGAACTGATTTCGGAGCACCTGGAAATGACTGGCCTGGAGAAATACGTTCCAAAAGAGATATTTTCTTCTACTAAGAGTATGAAAAAGATATCACCAATAACATTTTTTTGGCAGGAATAAAATTTTTTCTCAGTGTAGCACNCTGCGCATGCGCTGAGCATGATACCGAATGTTTTGATGATTATGCATAGTCCAGGGTCACTTGTCTCGCTGAGTCAATTTCTAAGACACTTTCAAACTCAGCATAAATTACAGCGTTGATCGTTGAAACTAAGCTTTCATCAAACCGTACCTCTATGCGCATGTTACCGTTCCGTATCAAATTCCAGTGTGAGTTATCATTAGCTGACAAATCTGGTGTTAAATCAAATGCGAACAGACAATACCCATGAGGGTAATCTCCACGGTGAACACCATTACCATCGTTCAGAACATGTATACCAGTGCCTGAGAAGATGGAATGATATGACTCCACATATAAATTATTCACAGTAAACTCTGGCTGTAGAGGTT